TACATATGTATATTTATTATTAGGAATTGTGCCTCAAATTTTTAGTCTAATTAGGTTTCTATTTTATAGTAGTATTTGTTAAGAAATTCTTATTGCTATGAGAATTTCTAAAGTACACACCTCTTAGGCATTTTCGAGAGGTTAAAAAGACAAAATGAGCATTAAAATATTATTTTATGTCAAAAATAATAGCACACTTTTTAAAATATAGATGAAAATGCTATGCAGAGCACTTAACACACACACACACACATATATATATGTACATATAAATAATTTTGCAAGGTGATAAAAATCTTAAGAGCAGCTAACAGGGTTTATGATACTATTACCGGACATTGTAAATAAAAAAAATAGAAATGATCAAAAATTAAAATATAAGAATAATTTTGTATATACCATACCATTTTTAGGAGTGGTTGATAGAATTTAAGATTTTATTAATAGTTGATATAGAACTTTTAAGAGTAAAGAACTGTTTTATGGATAATAAAAGGGATAAATTGTACTCACATTTCTTAAGCTTTCAGTCAACATTGATACTGATGTTTCAAAAATCATATTTACCATCAAATTTGTAAATTGAAAAAAATAACCATCATCATATTATTCCATAATCTCCTCTCATCCACCACCATTACGCATATCGCCACACCAAACACGCCTCCGGACTCGTCCAAATGCTTCTTGTGTCATCGTCACACAAATCCCCTCTCAGGCTCTCAACCACCACCACCACACACACACACACACACACCACCACAACCACCGCCACACCCACCACCACAACTACCTTTACACCCATACACCACCACCACAACACACCGCCACACCAAACATGCCTCCTGACCCGCCCAAATGCTTCGTGGCGGAGCAATTGTCAAAGTCACCAACTCTGACCGGGCCAAGATCGCCGAATCAGCCGGAGCTTGTTGTGTCATTGTCACACACGCCCTTTCAAGGAGGCATTGCTCGCATGCTTGACCCATCTCTCTTCAAAGAAATCAAGTGAGCAGTATACCTCCAATGGTGGCCGTAGTGGAGGTGGTTTCGACACCACCACAGTCTACGCCTCTGTTGATGTGACAAGGTCGAATCAACGCCGCTAGTGCACACTTCACCCAATCTCCTTCAACAGTTCCGATTCGAACCAGAGAGTTTGTCATCGTTGATCTCCGAGCATTCAATCCTTCAACGGTTCCGATCTTATATCGTGGCGTGACGGTCATTGAACGGATGGGAGATTTGGATCTGTGTCAACGAGAATCCATGAAGGTTCAATTTGGTGCCACAACATGGTGGGGAGTCCACCGGACTGGCTTTGTGGCGTCGTCGTGCTTTGGGGGTGATGGTGATCTGGTTGTGCTGATTTCATAATCGGGGGTGAAGGAGAGAGTGGATTAATGGGGTCAAAGGGCATTTAGGTTATTTTATAATTAAAAACTACTTGTTGGCACTAATTGAAGGATATTTAGGTCTTTTTAAGGTCAAGAGGGTGTGTAGGAAAGATTTTGCAACTTTAAGAGGTGTCAATGTAAACTTGTGTGTTGATCATTTGTTGAGTAGCGTTGACAGAAAGATTTTGAAACTTTAAGCGTCAGTTTGGTAGAGTGGAAATGGGAGGAAAGGGAAGGGAAGGTGATGGAGGGGGATTAAAAATTTGTGTTTGACAAAAATTATTGGAAGGGAAGGGTTTGGAGGGTTAACTTGTGCCTTCAACAGTAAATTTCTTAACCTCCAAAAAATGAGAGGAAATGAAGGGAAAGGGAATGAGAGGCTTAGTGTGTGATTTCAGATGCCAATCTTGCCCTTGATATGGGTTTTGATTGAACTGGAACAGCGGCGATGGAAACTAATATATATATATATATATATATAGAAGCTTGCGAAATATATGGGTTTTGATTGAGCCGGAACAGCGGCGATGGAAACTGATATATATATATATATATATATATATATATATGGAACCTTTTTGGGTTTTGATTTTTTGACCAATCTAAAATGATATACCATACGGGTTTTGAACTTTTGATTCTTGCAGAGAGAGAGAGAGAGAGAGAGTTGAGAATGAGAATAGAGATGGAGGCGAGATTGGGGGAGGCTGAAATGATTTGCCCTAATTTTTTTTTTCTTCATATATATATATAATAGAGATGGAGGCGACGAGATTGGGGAGGCTAAAATGATTTGCCCTAATTTATTTATTTATTTATTATTTTTTTCTTGTGCAGTATAGGAGATATATATATATATTTATTTATTAAAATATAAAAGGGTATAATAGTTAATTTATTAAAATAATTCCCTTTTCTATTTTTCCCTTTTTTTTTTTTCCTAAAATTATCCTTCCCTTCCATTTCCCTCATAACTAATGTTATCCTTCCTCTTCAAACCCACTCTACCAAACATACCCTAAGAGGTGTCAATGTAAACTTGTGCGTGTGCTGAGTGCATTGACTGAAAGATAGGTATATGAGTGCAATTTACCCTAATAAAAAATTATAAATACTCAAAAATACAAATAAAAGAATAAATTTGCTTATACGATTCTTGGAAGCCGTTGATAGAGATTAAAATTTTATTAGTATTTGATATATAATTCTTTTATTTTTTATAATATTATTTATTTCAATAAATATAAAAAATTAATTCTCTTAATAATAGACTCCAAAATTTTCATATCAATTACTAATGAAATTCTAAACTCTATAAAGTACACTTAAGAATTCTATTTACAAAATTATTCTTAAGAATCCTAAACTTTATGTCAATGTTATAAATAATTTATTACAATAATATTTAGGAAATAGTTTGAAATAGAATATAATAGAAAAGGTAGCTACCTAAATTATTATAATGGAAAGAGTTATAAATAGAATATAATTAGAAAAAATATAAATTTATTAATCAAAAAAAAAGTAAGAACTTAATCAAAACCCTTAATTAGACTAAACATATTCCATCAAATTCCACGTAATAAGTGTCTGGCACTATTCCATCAAATTTTATAAGGAAAAAAAATAAAAAAAATAAAAGCAAAGGTAAAATTAATATAATCATACTTAAATAAAATAGAGAAAAAAAAAATCAAAAACCATAAATTTGATTAAAACTATTCCATCAAATTCCACTAGAAAAAAAAATAACAAAAAAAAAAAAAAAAAAAATGCAAACGTAAAATCAATAAATTTATACCCAAATAGAATTCAAAAATCCTAAATTGGATGAAATTTATTTCATCGAATTCCTCAATGGAAAAAGTAAAAAATAAAGCAAAGATACCATCAATAAAATCATACTCAAATAGAATATAACAATTATTTTTTTTGAAAAACAATCATCAAAAATCATAAATTGTGATGAAACTTATTCCTTCTGGAAAAAAAAAATCAAGAAATGTAACGGCAAAGAAACCTCGAAGCTATGTATGCCTTCTTTCCGTTGTGGGTCCCACTCTAATGACGATATAGTTTTAGAGTTAGCCTTTAATTCACATTCTCAATTTAATAAGGAGCGAAGAGGCAGACACTTTTGTTATAAATAGAATCATACTCAAATAAAATAGAGAATAAGTATTGACATCTTTTTAAACTTATGAAAATATAAAACATGAGTTATACTAATTTTTTTAGTGTTAAATTCGATATGTCTATTTTTTTTTTTTCTCTTTGTTTGGTCATTTCCATCTGTGTATTTGTCATCCACATCTTTTTTTTCCCTTGACTCCGGTCACCAATCATTCCAAATTCTAATGTTGAATGTATCTTCCTTTAATTCTGTTTCTAGAGAACAACACTAATGGAAAATTGTCTTTCTTATATTTTTCTGTTATTTTTAATTTTCTGAAGATAGAAAACCATCATTAAAAAAATTAAACTAACCATTTATATTTATCCCTTTTCAAAATCTACCTCAAATTTATATGGACAAATATAATGTTTTAACATACCTGTTTCAAGAAAATAAATCAATCCTTTCTAAGACGAAATCGAAATCCAGTATAAAGCGTAGTGGTGGAGGTCCTGGTAGGAAAGACTATGTTTGGAATGATTGTTGGCTGGAGCTAAGGAAAAATAAAGATGCAGACGAGGCGAGATACACAGATGGGAGCAAAGAGAGGAAAAAAAATAGATCAATCGGGTTTAACCCTAAAAAATGGGTATGACCCATGTTTTGTATCTTTTTAAGTTTAAAAAAGGTGTCAACCTTTTATTGAGACATATTAGTGTGAAGCACACAATTTGTCCCGATGGGCATAATTGAAGCATTATCCAATAAAGTTTGTGTCGATTGTTGAACTCATCTTCTGTTTTGATTCCTTCGTTTGAATAAAAAATAACAGCAAAGGTAAACAAATATGAAATTGTGTTACTGTAAAAGTAAAATCAATAATAGAATAAAGATTTAAAAATACAAACAGATATGATGCTTGTGTTGGCGGGATTTTGTTTAGGACTCGCCAGATGTTTGTAGTCGTCTTCCTGTTTTGATTCTTCGTTTCTAAGAGTCCAACAAGAATTATTCATTTATGTAGAATTGGATTAGGTTTGTAGTTATTAACAACCAGATGTTTGTAGTCGTCTTCCTGTTTTGACCCTTCGTTTCTAAGAGTCCAACAAGAATTATTCATTTATGTAGAGTTGGATTAGGTTTGTAGTTATTAACAATACTCAATTTTATTCTTTTCTGGGAATCTAAAAAGTTTCTATACAGATCAATGTAGTTTTTTTTATTATTATTTTTTTTTCGGAAGCTAATGTAGCTTTTTTTGTTTTTAGTAATTTTTTTTTTTAATAGCTTTTTCTTTTATGTAGAATTGGACTAGGTTTGTAGTTATTAACAATGCTCAATTTTATCTAGCTAAAAGTTTCTAATTAAAGTTAAAATTGAAAAGAAAGTCTAATCAACAAATAAATTAATGCACTGAAATACTGAAACACAATTAATAATTAGATGATCTAATTAATTGTGATTTGAACGTGCATGAAATGAATTAGACTTAAGAAGGTACCTGCCAGTGTACAAGGCTATAATGAAAGGCGATTGGGAGAGCGCGAAAAGATTGTTGGCCCAAGATAAAAGTGCATTGACAGCCTATGTCACTGCAAACAACGAAACACTACTTCACAGAGCAGTTGGGACACACAAAGCAATTGATTTTCTGGAGAAGTTAGTAGAACTAATGCCATGGGAGGCACTTGCTCTACGTAACTATCCAAGCGAGACAGCCCTATGCACTGCAGCCAGATTGGGCAACACAAAAGCCGCAATGATATTGGTGGACAAAAACCCAGCATTGCTTCAAATGAAGAACAACGATGGTTTGTTTCCAGTTCACTTGGCTGCTTTGTATGCCCACAAGGAAACGCTTTTATATTTAATGAAGGCAACCATAGACCATCACCATCCCACTCCATATGCAGACCAATATTCAGGTGTTCGGCTTCTTGTTCATGTTATAGATTCTGGATTTTTAGGTAAGCAATCCACCTTAATTAATTAATTCTATTCTAGCTGCTACCTAGTACGTGCCTAGTACTATTTCTAATTTAGTATATACACACACACACATATCAATCAGTACTTGATATGATATGATCTGATGATTGGGTAATTTATTATTGTACTTTTACAGACGTGGCCCTGGATTTGGTTCAACGCGACCCTGATCTGGCTACATTCATTAAACTTGATAATGGTGACTATCCTCTGCTAGCAATAACCAAAAAACCATCTGCATTTCCAAGTGGATGTCGCCTCAACTTTTGGCAGCGTTTCATCTATTCTCGTTAGTTCATTTCTCCGGTCCAATTATTTCTTCTTTTCCATACATTCAAAATCTTAATTTCTTTTACCAACAACAATTAAGGGTACGGCTGTGAATCAATTTGCACAATATATGGTGTCATAATTACCTTCGTTTTTTTCATAAGTATACTGGTCAAGGGATTTTCTAACAATTTGATTAAAAGTGGAAGCTATAAGTGTGTCCTCGGTTAATTTTCTGTATATACATTTTGTCTGGAAGGTGTTCCTGTGAAGTTGGAGAACTACTCTAACAACCCAAATGCTGGTGACATTGAGAACCCAAATGCTGGTGACATTGAGAATCCAGCAGACAACTGTCAATGGCCAAAATTGCATGTCCTACTTGCCAAAGTCATGGAATTAGGTAAGACACAAGAAGTTTCCATTTAGGTGCACATAGTTTCAATTGAAACATGTAACATCCTTTACTTACTATCTAAATTGCAGTAACTCCTATCAAGCACATCCGAGAGGAAAAATTGAGGCATCTTCAAGCTCTTCAACTCGTCAAATGCTTGTGCCAAGGAATGTATTCATTTAGTGATTACTACGGAACCGGGCAATTCTTCGAGAATGCATACCTTGAGTCGGCAAGGATGGGTATTCATGAGATTTTAGAAGAACTGGTGGATACAATTCCCGATTCAACTTGGTACATGGATGCAGATGGTCGTTACATATTTCAAATTGCAGTTGTAAACCGTAATGAAAATGTTTTCAACCTCGTCTATCAGATGAGTGAGCATAAGCAGTACATAACACACTTTAGAGACAATTTTAATAACACAATATTGCACTTGGCCGGAAAGTTGGCGCCTCCACATAAACTCAATCTTGTTTCAGGTGCTGCTCTGCAGATGCAGCGTGAGTTACAATGGTTTAAGGTATCAAACTCATTTCTCTTGTTTTTAATGGTGGTTCCCTTTTTTGCATGAATTTTTCAGCCCCAAAATCATTTTTCACTTTAATTGAATTGTATATAAAAAATTACTTTTCAAAATTTGACATTCCACTTCATATAAGAAGCATATCAAAGTTGTCCATTGTTTTGAAGTTACGGCTATCATACAGGAAGTGGAGAAGTTTGTAATCCCAGCCTACAAAGAAATGGAAAACAATGCTAAAAAAACTCCAGCAATGGTATTTAGTGAGGAACACAAGGACTTGGTAAGTGAAGGAGAGAAATGGATGAAAGAGACAGCAAATTCATGCACCATTGCAGCGGCACTCATTGCCACTGTAGTATTTGCAGCAGCTATTACTGTACCAGGTGGCAACAATGCAGATGGCCTACCAATGTTTTCCAAACAAATTGGCTTCATTATATTTGCAGTGTCAGATGCAATCTCTCTCTTCACATCCACAGCTTCCTTGTTAATGTTCTTGTCCATCCTTACATCGCGCTATGCAGAGCAAGATTTTCTGTACAGTCTACCAAAAAGGTTGATAATCGGTCTTGTTACCTTGTTCCTCTCAATAACATCCATGATGATAACCTTCAGTGCCACGCTCTATCTTGTGTTTGGCCACAGAAAAGGATGGATTCTTATTCCAGTGGCTGCATTAGCCTGTTTACCAGTGACCTTATTTGTTTCCTTACAATTCCCCCTACTAGTGGATGTGATCTCTTCGACATATGGTCCTGGCATTTTCAGTAAGCAAAGTGATCGTTCATTCTTCTAAGAACACCGAGAAGGTGAAGGAGTTTGAGTTGCTGCTTCTAGGTACTCTACATTTGAACCCACAAAGTTATCGATGTATTTTTAATAGCAGTATTTAAAAGATTTTGCACATGGTGCAAATCCAGATTTGTGTGTCGGACACCGTGGGATATGCCAGGTGTGTTTAGAAGTTGGTTGGAGCATTTTTTTGAGTTTAGGATTCTTGGGAATGCATGGGTTGCCATTTCGATATTTTTTTATTTTTCGAGATAGGAGGTCCCATGTGCGACCCGTTACCGGAGTTGTTGAGCACGGGAATAGTGTTTCGGGTCCATTGCATTTCATGTCTTTTATGCTTCTTTACATGTTTATTTTGTGGTTGTAATTGATTAGTGTATAGATATGTATACGTATTAATGTTAAGAAATATTTGTTTATTCTATAGGACCCACCCTTGCTTTATACCATTACAAATTGTCTTAAGGCCATTAGATGACCATCATTATCGTCTCTCTCATGCCAGTAGCCTACTCTCTATTTCTTTTTCTTTTTTTTTTCTTTTTTTTTTTTTTTTCTCCCACATTTTGATCTTAGATCTAGCCATAACTGTTGGGATTTAGACTTTGCCACTGAAGGCAAAGTCAACGAGCGCGTCGAGACCTACGTTTTGATTGGAGCAAATCTCAGTTTGGCCACCCTTTGAATTTCAAATTTTTTGGCTGTTTTGAGACTTTCTCTTCTAATTGAGGTAGAGGTGTTCTAATCCGCACATTTTTTTGATTTTTGTGATTTGTTTATATATTTTAGTATATAACATGTCTATTTGTGGTTAATTCTTGAGAAATTATTATGATATTATGTTTCGGATTTGTATATCTATGTGAGTTCTCTTGTTGTAAGTAATTTGTGTATATGGTTGTTGATTAAATACCGGAAGCATGCTTAAATGATTATGGTTTTGTCCAAGTGTAAGATTGCTGAAATTATGTTAATTGTAAGCATGCCATGTTTTGTGAGAATTTCTTTATTAAATGTGCAATATTGTTAAGGATGAAAAGTATGGGCTTATGGCATATATGAAGCATGAAACGTTCATGCATTTTATTGGGAAAGAAAAGGAAAAAAATTCTTTTGAAATGAAATGAAATTATTTTTGGAAAAATGTTTTTGAAAAGTGTTTGCGAAAACCCGGGTGCCTAGGAGTTGCTTAGTGGTCTGTGGCGTTAGTGTGGTCTAGAGGGGACTAGGGAAGGACCCTAGCGTGGTTAAGCTACCTAGGCCCGAAACGACGCATTGGAGTTGCCATATGGTCGGAGATAGCTAACCAATTCTCCTCGTGTGACGCCATAGAGTTGCCATAGGTCAGATTGCACTAACGATTTGAAACGGTGAAACGAAATTGTTTCGAAAATAGGGAATGACATTTACATGACATTGCATCTCATTGGCATACATTGTGTAATTGTGGTTGGATGGCTATGTTTATACTTGTCGTAGTTGCGGTTGTGAAAATATCCCCCCATAGCATGATCCCATACTTCTTCACTATAACGTTTCCAATTTTCAGTATTTTTTATTTTTTCGGAAATTCGTAGAGATAAGGGTATTTCTGTCTTTTCACGTTTGTCGTTCGGAATGGTGGTTGGGTCCATTTGCATTTTTAGGCATTTTAGATTATGTGGATTAAGTGGTATTTGTATGTGGTGCATTGTATATGTATATGTGGTGTAAATGGAAGATTAAAGAAAAAGAGAAATAAAAAGGAACTGCGGGGCCACCACTATCTCAAAAGTGGTCTAGAGGCCACTATTTTGCTTCCTCATTTCTCTCTCCCCGCTATTCTCCTTCTTCCTCTCTTTCATCTTCATTTTTCTTCCTTCTTTTGCTTCAAGCTTTAAGTCAAGATAACTCTCTCAATTCTTAGAATTTTTAAGTGACGTTTGAGGCGAAACGGAGAGCACGACGAGCTCTACACGCTAGTGTAAGCAATTCCAGCTTTGGTGCTTCCCTTGGATTTCGAAATTCTTGATCATTTTAAGGGTTTTGCTCAATTTGAGGTAGGGGCTTCCTAATTCACATTATTCATGTACCTTTGTGAGTTAATCTACATGAATTGTATTATAACATGCTTAATTGTGTTAATTGTAGCCTAAATTGTCTTGATTGTATATATGTGAATATGTGAAGACTTGTCTTGATTGTAATATATGGAAAACATGCTTATATTGTGAGTTATGCCTATTGTATTGTTCACATGCTATGAATGGTGTAGGAAAGCATGCCCTATCGTATTTTGTGATGATTCATTATTGTTGAAATATTAAAAGTATGAGAACATGCTTACTTGTGTTGTGTTAAATTCCTCAATTTTATAGTATTGAGATCATGAGACATGCATGTACACCATTGGGTTGCATGAAGAGAAGAAATTGTTTTTGAAATGAAAATGGGGAGTTTTGGGAAAGAATGTTTTGATGAAAGTGTTTTGGAAAAACCCGGTCGCCGCGGGGGTACCAAAGGGCCGGAGGTTAATATAGCCTAGAGGGGACTAGGAAGTCGCCCTAGAGTGGTTGAGCTAGCTGGCCCCATAATGATGCCGCGGGGGTACCAAGGGTCAGGGACACTAGCCAATCCTCCTCTCGCGTCACTGCGGGGTCACCAAAGGGCGGGCTGTATTAACAATTTGAAAGTGATGATTAAATTGTGAAAATGGGGAGTGACATCAGCATGCATTACATCTTCATTGCATCTTATTAATTGTAGAGATTGGTAACCATGTTGTATTTTCCCCTATATTGTATGACCCCGACTCCTATTGGCCTATTCTTTGTTTTGGATTCATGGGGTTTCATGAGGTGCGTCTTAGGCGCCACCTACTGAGGAAATTGCTCACCCCACCATACTTATATTTTTTTCAGGTCATGGCAAGGAAATGGCGGATAAAAATCCTCCGTAAGCTTGAAAGTTGTTAGAAGATGATTTTTTTTGCTATTTTGTATTTGGCCATTTCATGTATAATCATAGTTTTGGGGAATGTAAATAAGTTTATAATTTTGGCCATTGGGTAATGTAATTAAGTTTTATTCACTCAAAACCCTTTATTGTATTTTAGTGACGTGTGGCAAATTTTACTAACAACGTAGTTGTTGAAATTGTAATTTAGTGTTGAAATGTATGTAAACTTATACGTGAGTGTAGTGGCGTGGGTGGTTGATCCCAAAAAGTGATGCATTCTATTTTTCTTTGGACAGTGGCAAAAAAAAAATGAGTGAGGATAACCCAAACCGGTCGATGTAAAATTCTACACGTCGACCGAGTAGCTTCCCACACGTCGACCGGTATCTTGCCAGTAGCCATCTCTTAGTGCACGTCTCAAACCAGTCGATGTGTCCCACACGTCGACCGGTATCTCGGCAGTGGGTATTGCCACTGTTCATAACCTAAACCAGTCGACGTACGTTGACTGGTTTACGTCACATAAATAATTACTATTTAAGTTCTTAAATTACACTTTGGCACCCAAGTGAGGTTGCACGTCTCAAACCAGTCGATGTGTCCCACACGTCGACCGGTATCTCGGCAGTGGGTATTGCCACTGTTCATAACCTAAACCAGTCGACGTACGTTGACTAGTTTACGTCACATAAATAATTACTATTTAAGTTCTTAAATTACACTTTGGCACCCAAGTGAGGTTGCACGTAATTATTTTATAACTTACTGAAATGTAATAATTGTACTTTGACCACCGAAAAGACTATATTGTCCCAGATCTTACTTTATTTATTATGCAATGCAAGCAAATGACTATTATAGCCTTGAGTCTTAAATTATTGATTTGTAGTAATTTACCATTTTGCCCTTTTGGGCCTTGTTATTTAAATTTAGTGTGAAATGACCGTTTTACCCTCGGACGTTTTTGGGTCGGGTGAAGACCAGTTTAATGGTCCGGATCCATGAGGATTTGGGTCGTTACATTCACTTTATGCTTTATGTGGATTCACGGGATCATTAAGAGGTGTGTTTTAGACACCTCCTACTGAGTGGCTGGCTCACCTCATTACTTTAACATTTTCAGGTCACGGGAAGGAAGTGGCAGATGACGTTCTTCCACAAGTTTAGATAGGTTAGTGGACTATTTTGACATCTTTTGTAGTTGCGGTCTTAAATTTTTTTTGTAAGTCTTAGGGTGGCACGTATATTATATATTGATATTGGTATTAACTGTAATGCCCTTAGATGACCTAGGGTTTGGGTAAGGACCCGGTTAGCGATTTGGACCCTTAGGTTCGAGTTGTTACAATTGCGACTTTCTGTTTGGCTCTGCTTAGATTGCTCAGTCCTGTAGAAGTTGTTGTGGCCTGTTTTCTGCTATAATCATGCTCATCCTGTTATAGTTTCATTTTCATCCTTATTGTGGCTGTTAGTTCTTTGGTTGTTGTTTCACTTATTTTTTCTTCTCATGTTGCCTTCTCAGCATCATATACTATTTCATACTCTATCTATGTAATCTTCCATCATCTGTTTCAGGGGTTGATAGAGTAGAAAATGGTGTAAACCAGTGATTGCCCTTTTAAAGCAATATTGATGTTGCTATGGATGTTTTGTGTTGGGGAAAAAACAAAGATATAATAGGGCAATGTAACAAATACAATACCCAAGTCAAATGCGGAATACCCAGAATTGGAACTTTTTACTCACTGTGAAAACTTCTAAGATTAACAAATATAGAACAGAGATAACAAACAATCAATAAAATCAATCACACGATGAATACTAGGATATACGTGGAAAACCTTTTAGATGGAAGAGTAAAAAACTATGGGCCAACTCTGAATAACCATCCACTATCTTCTTCTTCTTCTTCTTCTTTTTTTTTTTTTTCTTAGTTGGTACTCACACACTCATGTTTCTTCTGAGACTGGAATCTCCGACCTCCCTTTGGGAAGTACGAGGCTGATACCGCTATGCCACTGGTCCGTTGGTATAATCCTCCACTATTAACAGTAATAATGGGGTTACAGCTGGTCTTCTCTAGATTGAACTAGAGGCTTACAAATTAAAGATTCTTCAAGGGAAATCAAAACCCTCGGATAACAGCAACATCAACAGAATGAAACGTCACCCAGAAACATAGTCGGTGTTTATGTAACGACACGAACTCTGGGGTTCGAATCATTATTCGGGTCCTTGCCCGAACCCGAGGTCGTCTAAAGTCTTGTATGCAATTGGGCTCATTTGTGAGCTCAACTATGCTGTAAACCTGTCTCGATAACATTTATATCAATCTAAAATATGCATAACAAACTGGTGTATGGTTTAACTATCAAATAATACAAATGAACTCGAATTCACTTAGTCATCCTTTATACTTTACATTTAATCACATGAATCCATTCCAATATGTGTGTGTGTGTGTGTATGTGCGCGCGCATGCCCAAA